AAGTGGCTGCTAAAACGCGTGAAATCGCATTTCAGACATTAAGGCCCATCTCCACTAGACGATTTTTATGACGATCGTCTTAAATTTTCGCGACGACACATGCGCAGAGGCAAAAAGCTTTTCGTTCGGACGAAATTTTTGACGATTTTGATTCTGACGAAAATTCCGACCTGCAAGTCCGTGTACTCTAACAACACCGACACCTGAAATACCTATTGATGAAAATACTTCAAAAAAGCGTAAAAGACCTTCATCTGAAAAAAGTGCTTATGACCCATTTTTGCAACAAATCATGCAAATGGATGATCAACTAATCAAAATTGTTAACAAAGAGTCTGCGGATGATGAGGCTACAGCATTTTGCATGAGTCTTGTACCTGTGCTGAAAGACTTTGATAAAAAAAAGCTAAGATTAGCAAAAATTAAAATTCAACAACTTTTATTTGACATAGAATTTGATGATCAATGAGATAAAATATGCATTCAGTTTTTAACAATATAACAATTTTGGTATTTACATATTCTTAAGATTTTTCCTTTTTTTAAACATGAATTTTATTTCTGTGTTGGTGACCTCAAAACAAGCATCATAGGTCTGACAAATTTGTTTGAAAATAATATTTCACATGTGGTGGGAATCATGAGAATTCATTACATAATAAAAGTGATTAAACATTGCTTTGAATTGATTACAATTTACCTTGAACTTTTTCTTGGGTTTGAAAAACTCAATTTACTAAACTCATTTTAACATTTTAATGAATTCTCTTTTCTCATCATATATAAAAAACCTGTATGCTTACATAAATAGACTATATAGAATATTGTTAATTAATGAATAACATTGTATATGTGATAATTGATATTCTGTTGCTTAGCCAAATAATGACATTCCTGTAAAGCTTAACAATTATCTACATTTTATGTTATTCATTAGTTGTTTCCAAGTCCTATTAAAAAACGAGAATCAATTTATTTTGCTTTGCCTATTTTGTCCCATTGCCAGTCAACAGCACCCTCATTGTTGAAATAATGTTCAAACTGTTCTCTAACCCATTTAGCTTCCCCACCATAATTTCTTGAAGCCCCAACATTTTGAATAGAAGCTATACCATTCATAATATTTGCATCTTGTCTCCATTCACCAAGGTGCAGTCCATTTGGCCCATCCTGGTCAACAAATGTACTTGGGCAATAGTGACTTTCTCTGTCAGTTTCATTTATAGTCATCAGGAAGTTGTGCAGTGCAACCACTGCTTTTGTTATTGCAATAACCTTGGGTACTTTTGCAATGATTGGCCTGTGGAAAACACGAAAATGACTAGCACAAATGCCAAATGTGTTTTCAATTACCCTCCTTGCACGACTGAGCCTATAATTGAAAACTAGCTTACTTTCTGAAAGATTGGAGAATGGATATGGCTTCATCATATGTCTTTTTAGAGCAAAAGCATAATCTCCAACAAAAACATACGGTAAAACCTTATTAGAATTGGAAATTTGACAATCAGGTGGAGTGTTCAGGAGTTTATTTTCTATAGCATAACCTAAATTGCTGTTAGCATAAACACTTCCATCACTTTGCCGTCCACTATCACCTATATCAACCATAGTAAACTTGTACCGAGCATCACATACTGCCATGAGCACAATACTGTGAGTCTTTTTATAATTAAAGAAAGCGGATGACTGATTATCAGGAGCAAACATCAACACATGTTTGCCATCAATTGCGCCAAGTGCATTCGGAAAATTCCATCGAGCTTCGAATTCATTGGCAATTTTTCTCCATGCTTCAACTCCAGAAGGTGTGTCAATATATCCTGCTTCCTTCAGTCTATTCCAAATTGAATTGCACGTTTCATCGATTATTCTGCCAACAGTTGTGGCACTCATTCTATAATTAGCGCCAATAGTTGAATAGGCATCACCGGTGGTTAAATATCGTAGTGTCACTGCAAGTCTTTGGTCAGGTCCAATAGGTTTTTGGAAACATACGAAAGTATCTAAAGAACATTTCATGGTCGTGGAGTCGCATATCATTTATCAATAGCTTATATTCTCCTTTCACATTTCTTTCTTCGTACAGCTTTCTTATCCAAAATCGACGTTTCCTTTTTCTTGTTTTGGTGTTCTCCCTGAGCATTATTTGGTGAAGATTGTAAAGAAATAAATATCTTCTACGAAGCAGCAAATATAGAATATATCTTTTATTTATCGACGCCATTTTGTTTATTGGAAAACACCGCGAAATAATCGTCTAGTGGAGATGACTAACAAAATCGTCCTATAATTCGTGTTCGAAATATTGTCGCGAAAATTTAAGACGATCGTCACAAAAATCGTCTAGTGGAGATGCGCCTTTACACCTCCGGTGCTCAGCCAAATTCGGCGTTCGATCGATTTCTCCAACGTAAAAAAAACTTGGATCCGCGACTGATTCAAAGAAGACGTGAAATAGTTTCGTAGAACAATGAATTCTCGTCAAGTAGCGAGTTATTTAACGCACATGCGAAATATATGTAATTAAACCACGAATGCACTGCACGTAAACACAAAAGCAGCATATTAAATGGCAATCGTTTAATGTAAATAGAAAAGCCGCGTGCAAAGCAGCATATTAAATGGCAATCGTTTAATGTAAATAGAAAGCCGCGTGCATAGCAGCATATTAAATGGCAATCGTTTAATGTAAATAGAAAAGCCGCGTGCATATCGATCACACCACTGCACATAATCATAAAGTAACTGCTTGTAAAGAAACATAAACACTTCTGCACAACTAAAATGATACATGTAATTAATTCGCATCACTTAAGACAGCTACGACAATCCATAAAATTATAACAGTCCTCCATGATAATTCTTCACTCCTATGACAACTGAAGACAATAAAGCTGTGACGTCACGTGCAAGCAAAACATAGTCATAGCTCTTCACCAGTGATATTGTCATCGTACGTGTCAAGCCATATCACATTTTTACGGTCGATAAAAAGTCGTCCAGTTTATCACTTATTCCTTGTCAGTGAAATTTTTCAAAGTAAGTTTTAATATAATGAGATATTTCTATCGATAGTATTATTATCGTCAATCTCAAAGTTTGAATGCGTGGATATCTAGGAAGTTGCTTCAATTATTATTTATCAAGATACCAATGTCGATCTTTCACTTCACTATAGTACATATATAAAACACAAGTATTTATAAACAGTAGAACGGCAAAGCGAAAGTTTATTACTGCTTACCACCGCATGTGTCAACACTGTGTTGTTATTTCGGCTATCAGGTTTTTTAAAAGTTTTGTTAGCTATTTCAAGAAAATGCGACGATTTTTGTTTAACTTGGCCATTATGCGATACTTTAAACGACGTAGCTTTTGAGTTTTTTTCCTGAAATTACTTATATAGGGTATAAAGATATTGCAATAGAAGAAAGATTTTTATTTGTATGATATAGAATCAATGAGGCTTATCGTTTTTGTTTAACATGCAAATATGTTTGGAATGTTAAAAATCTTATGATTAATATTCAACTTATAATAGCGACAAGCGTTCCCAAGAAATTTGCTTAACTATTGTGGCTTCAAGTTTCAACAAAAAACGTCCGAAAACAGATCAAAGTTTGTTGTTTTTTTTGTGTAATGCTAATATTCAAAAGCTGACATTCACACACTTAGTTGTGGTTCACACATGCTACTCAGGAATCTGTTATTGATAAGGAGGGAAAACGTCATTACTTTTTGTCAGTTTGGAACAAAATTTTTGTTGAAACTGGTCAGGGTATAACATGCTTGCGATACGAGTTCAGTTTTGCAGTTCTATACAATCTACATTTCAAGATTTCAATATTTATTAGTTAACCAAGATCGCAAATCAAAGTTAGAGCTTTGCCTCATGTAATAGTTTTTCACAATCGCACAGAATTATCAAAAAAAGTAATACTTATGTATAAAATGGATAGTTTTAGCTAGCAAATGTTGTTCAACAAACCAAAGTTCGGCAGTGTAGTTCTTTACAAGTGTTTTGACACACTAAACTGCATGCCTTAATTAACGCCTTCAATTAGTCTGAATGCTTTGTGACAGCACAATTGTATTTGAGGCAAAATTCTACATGTGGCAAAGCATTAGCATCGTAAATTTACAGTACTTAGTTTTTGAAACACAATTTTTGATGCAACTGTTTTGGAGGAGTTCGTCAGAGTTATTGCACATGACACAGGGAAGTATAATAATGCTAGATCGCTTGTTTGAATGACAGTACAAAGTAAAGTTTACGAGCACTTTGCGAAAAGTTACGCAGTCTTATGCTGCGTTTACACTACACCGGATTCGCTTATCGAGACATCTTCATTTGCTTTAAAGGGTTAACTATTCGGAGTAAAAGCCTATTAAGCTGATAGATTCATTGTATTTGATTGTGTTACTGACGTTGAACAATTTTATTGCCTTTTAACACAAAGAATATTTAACGTGCTATGATATTAATCCGGTATAGTGCAAACCGTGCCTTAAAGTTACGTAAAGTTACGCAAAACGCTTAACTCAGACATTAAGCAGCTAAAATTAATTCAAAGTTTATGTAATAAGCCGAACAATGTTGAATAACTTTACTGAAGAACACAGTTCATTAATTACTACTCAAAAATATGACATTTGGTTGCTCAAATCAAATGCACTCATATAGTTACTCCAAAATTTGAGTAAATGGTAAATTACTCAAAAATATGTGTAAAAACCTATTACTCAAAAGGTGTTCAAATTATTCAAATCAAATGAATGTTAATCTAGAATTTGAGGAAATGGTGTATTTACTCAAAATACGTGTTTAATTACTCAAAAAGAGTACAAAATCCAATGTACTTATACTTAATTACTCCAAAATTCAAATAAATAGTTTATCTACTCAAAATACGAGGTAAAACTACTCAAAATTGGAGTTATGGCTACTCAGTTAAACACATAAGACATTTTATTTACAAAGTTTGAAATTCTTTTAGGGATCTAAAAGTATATAGCCAGTTAACTAGCTACCACAAAAAACTGGATATTGACAGGTATGAACTACTACGTTATTAATTTAACAATTCCCTGTGGTATATGCTTAGGGCCTTTTCATATAAGCTCGTGTAGCCGTGATTCAGCGAGACGTTAAATCATTTTGGCAAATGGAAAAGATTAATTAATTTAAAACAAAAAAGGATTTGAGCAATTTCTGTATGCTCTGATTTTAAAAGTTCATAAAACCGTTAAAAGAGAAAAATAACTTAGCGTGATTTAAAAATTACCATTAAAATGACTTACGCAGCTTAAGAAGATTGTAAAGCTTTGCACATACATTTTTTACTCCTTTCAATTACTCAAAATCATTTCACGCCTTGCTGAACCAAGGTTACCGGGCTCATTTGACAAGCTTTAACTATTTACTAAAAAATTTGAGTTAGAATGATTGACTCTTGTTTTCAGAAAAAGTAAAAATTACAATGCAACAACTACCTACCAAAATTTACAGCTATATAAAACTTATAGAGTTATAACAACTGAAGAGAAAGTGAAAAATGAATCATTATTCCATAATGCGTAATAATTACTCAAAATAAGTTCGAGTAACCCAAATGTTGACTAAAATTTAATGTAGTATTTTTTGCAAAGTACTTTTTTTTGCACCCATTTATAACAACATTCATAATGTAAGGCATGAACATGGAAGGAATTTACCTTTTTTTTCTAAAAATGGTCGACTGTTTTACATATTGTCTCCAAAGCATACAACTTTTTTGTGAGAAAATTTTCGTACTGTTTGTGCAAACAAATGGAAACATCTACATAGCTGTTCAAGTTTCTCTTAATATGCCTTTATTTATGTTGAGCAGGGGCGGATCTAGAGTATGTCAAATCCGTCACGCGACTGATGTTTGAATTCAAAAATTACCTATTCATATTAATTAAAATTTTATTAATTATTCTTACTTTATTATCGCATTTACTTCGTGGCCAGATCAGTGGACAGTCTGGGATGGTCTCGACTGATAAGAGGGGTGGCCAGACGTATAAGGGAGTCCAATTGCTATCTTACAATTGGTTCATTTGAATTTTTGTTTTATTGTGATTGGTTTGACGCATTTCCACTGATAGCCAACTGAGCTAACAAAGTCAAGCTCACTGTCTGAATTGAATATTAGATCGTTTCATAGTAATTTTTATAAGCATGATAGAAACTAAACTACAATCAGATGGAATTTATAAAAATCTTTTACAAATTCATATATTGACCTGAATGCTGCTGTCTAAACTGTGAATTTTTTCAAGAGGGTGAAAAATTTCTGGATAACTTGTAAATGCTTGGCAAAGACGATCTCGCGAGCGACATTTCAGTCATTGATGTTCAAAAGAAAGCCAACATTGTTTTGAGTATTATCACCAGAAATTTACATTCAAAATCGTAAGTAAAGGACAAGTGAAGTATATGCATGAATGCAATATCTCAAATTCAATTTATGCGAGTGTGTGGTGCGATTTATGTCAATATGGCGTATGGTAAGCAGATTGATGCTTCTAAAATTGTTGTTGACGAAGGACTTTTACCTATGATTTCTTTAGTGCCTGGGGAATCCTGGCCGTTAAATGGCAGCGAAATCCTACAGTCCTGCAAATATATTTCAATGGACAAAAATTTGTAGCCATAAGGCGCCACCTATTATTTATTTTATCATAAACAAATCTTTTGGGGCTTTTCAGTTTATGATCATTGATCATTCAATCATTGGACAGTTAATCTACATATTCTTTAAGATTTGAGCAAACTAATATTGATTACATGAGAAGCTGTTTACTATAACCTGTGATTTTGAGTCTTATGATCCATGAAGCTTTTTTTTGACAACTTGACTGGAATGGTATTAAACCTAAGTATTTCACATGCATGAAATGTTGTCCCATGTCACATATTGTCCCCTTTTCTAACTGAACACCTCATGTAGAGATGTAAAGGTGTGTTAATCTACGGCTCATACCAGATTGTTTGCCATAAATTCCAAAGGGCTATTGATGTATGAAAAGCATTTTCTATAAAGTAAAAATGTCTTCCTATGTATGCAGATAAACCTTAAAATTTGGCAAAACAGCAAAGTATTTTTCATGATCACTAGGTAATTTTTCTGATGATCATTATCATTTCTAAAATAAATTATTTCAGATTTACATTTAAACGAGCTTTGATTATATAAAAAAATATTTATCATAACCAGTAAGCATGACACATGAGCCAATTTTAACATTCATGTAATTATATAATTAAAGACATGTTGGTTACATTCTGTTTGTGTTTGCAAATACAATGCTACTAGTGATTGCTATATAGCACACATTGCAGAAGATAATAGTCTATTGAAATGCCTAATAAACATTTATGGCATTAAGCTGTCCTTAACTGCAAATTTTCACTCTTATAATTTTTGCTTAATCTTTGGCATAAAAAAAATTTGAGTTTTTGTCTCAAAAGGTGAATTTGCTGGCACTGATGTGGAGATAGGTAAAGGGTTACAATAAACTTGCACGGTTTGAAGTCTGAGCTTTTCTATATCTATGAACTGTCACTTGTAGTACCAAATTTTTAACTTAACTCATTACATAGAGGTTTGAATGGGGGTCTCTAGGAGGGTCTATGCCTGACAACTTGGTAGAAATTTTTAAAGACTATATCTGTTTTTGAATAGCATTATTGTAAAATAAATTTTACGTTCCTAGACATGCTAATGAGCCATATATTTTGCACGATAATGAGCCTAAATATTTGGCAAAACATTCAAGTATTGTTCACTTCATATTTTTTTGAAAAACGTAAGCAAAATGTGTTGTTTTACGCCAAAACGATTCCCACAAAATACATTTTATATTGCTCTAAAACGCTGAAAATGGCATTTTCAAGGCTCTGAAATTCAAAATTTCTCAGGGGAGAAAGCCTCAGACCCCCCCAGGTGCGGAGCGCCTCCGACGTTTTATGACTGATGTTTGAAAAATCCTAGATCCGCCCCTGATGTTGAGCACAGGCAGTGAGCATTTATATTCCCCGACAATTTATTATTATAATTTTTTGATGATTTAGACGGCTCAAAGACAAACACCACGTGTTGCTGTTCTGCTAAATTCATAAGACATGATTGAAAAACATATGAAGTCCATTTTTGCTACTTTGCTAGCATTTGTTATTCTCTTCATCTCCTGTTTATGGTGGTTAGCACAAATCAATACAGTTTCTTACAGACCACATTTTGCAAAAGAATTAAATGGCAATAATCATCAAAATCAAAGATTCTTTTACTTGATACAGACTGAAGGTTGCTTGCCTGAATATTTAATGAGTACAACAATATTTGGACAGCAGTCAATGAATGATGTTCTTGTCTTAACTTTTGAGAGCCTTTGTAAAAAAGAACATTCAAGACCATCTTATAACATCGAGTACATTTATAAGCCAAATACAACCTGGAGCGAGGGAAGGAACATTTTGTATGAGCGGGCAATTAATTCTTCCAAAGACTATATCTATTATGTTTTCATGGACGGAGACCTAACATTTCATTTTACAAGCTCAAAGTTTGAAAGAGTATTCTCAAAGAATCAAAGCTCTCCTCTGAAAACGTTTGAAAGACTACTCTTGGAATACGAGCCTGCAATTGGCGTACCTTGGTTTTGCATCAAATGGGGTCAAAACCATTATCCATTATGTTGGAGACCATATAAGTACCCATTTCGAGAAGTGTTGCCCGTTAGCATTCATTTTGATGCTGCTTGTAATGCTTTTCACAAGAATGCAATAAAGTTTTTGCTTCCTTACCGATTAAAGTACGAAAATAGTAGCTGGCATAACAGTCAAAAATTTCTTGTCATTGCCGCTGACCTAATATTCCGTGGACAAATTCTACATATCCTTCCAGTTACTACGACCAACGCAAAGCATAGAAACTATCCCAGAAACAATTGGGACAATTGGGCACATTTGTACGGGATATTGCTAAAAGAAATACCTCCACAATACCGGAAAGTCAACAAATGGCTTCCAAACGAAAATTTGGTGAAATTCACGCCAATCATACGTAACGAAACTGTGTATACGCCATATATGAGAGTAAAGATTCCAAAACATCGAATTCATATTGAACCCTATAGATATTTCAAATCTTAAAAATGTTGAAGTAAATAAATTTTACAGTTGATGCAACTTATTATTTTTTGCTTTTCAAACAAGCAAGACGATCGCTGCAAAATACGAATTGTATTAAGGCCAAGATTAAAAGCTGTATAGAACAGCAGGCACAAGAATTGAAAATTTTTGCAGAAAATTTGACGTCATTCATTTCTATATATATGCAACTTTGGCCTCAGGTTTGCACTGTTCAGCTCTTAAGTTCATACAAACGATCCGCTTAGTTTTCATAAAACTGTGCAAACCCAAATATTTTTTTTATTTCTTAAGTAATCAACGAAATCAAAACTACGAAAACGTAGAATTAAAGCGAGGTTATTGATTTAATAAAGAGTTAAAAAAAATCACAAATATTTATTTAAGTTTCCTTTACTCTTTAATTTACTCCACTTAAAAGAAGGAACTGCAAGTGGATTTACGCAAAAACTCGTCTATGTTTAAAGGTATGTTCAAAACCTACAGGACATCTCCTTCACCCTCGGTGCACTCGGCTCGCTGGGGACAACGTTGTTGACAGTATCTTCGGCGCGGGTATTGTTAACGGCAACATATCTCAACCCTCCGACGACTACCGCGTGGAATATGTTCCATCCCCCGAGCAGACGACGAGCGGTGCTGCAAAAAGATCGAGGGCTGGAAAGACTCGCAAGACGAGGGGAGCGGTTCGAAAAACACGCGCAGCGCCAAGGTCGACAACAAGACGGAAGACGGCGGCGTCGAAGTGCGCAACGCCTAGAAGAACGGTAGGGACACAACGGAAGACAACGGGGCGAGTGAAGAATAGCGGTTTGGATGAATTCAAGAGCATGCTCCTGGATGCTGCAAAGAGTACTGGCAAGAGAGCAGCGAGTCGCGCAAAATCGAAGGCCCTTTCTAGGTTGATATCGTCAGCCACAAGTTTGGCACCCAATCTCCTTGCTTCGGCGCCCGCGGCGGCTTCATGTTTCCATCAGCCCTTCAGCAGCAGCATCTCGCAGGCCTTGCGGGCCGCGTCCTAGACCCCGATGAGCGCCCACACTGGCCAGACGTTCAACATTTAGAGCAGTGCATATCTTTCCGAAATGGATTTTCGGCTGTTATTCCCCGGGTCAGTCGTCCCGACGCCATCACAGGCGCCCGCGCCTACTGTTCTTCCAAGTGTTATCGTGCGTGATACTAGCACTGGTGGGGGCAAATACCCCGCTATCCCTGGGCTTGAATTTTGCAAAAAAGAATCGTTTGACGAGCTTCTGCCTTCACTCAAAAAAGGGGGGCAGAATGTTTTGCTCTTGGGTCAGAGCAATATGGGCAAGAGCTTCTTCATGAAACGGCTCCTTGCTCACGTTCGTCCGAGAAGGCTGTACGTCATTTCGAACACCTCCGCTGATCAATATATCGAACCTAACACGGTCTTGAAGCATTATTCCGTCATGGCTGAATCGATCGAGGATGCGAGTATAGAACCGTAGTCCTACGTCATCATCGACGACATCCGCGTCATGAATCTTAAATGCGGAATGCAGAGGGAATGCATCTATAAGTTTTTACGATGTATAGCCATCATCTGAAATTGAGCGTCTTCTTCCTCTCTCAGAGCTTCGACAACATATAGGATATGAAGGTTAACACAAACTTTCTCAATCTCTTCCGATTCACTGATAAGTCGAACGTGAAGCGGTTTCTTAATTCACTCTTCGGCGGCACGGGCAATAAACTGACTCTCATCTTCAAACTGTACGAGAAACTCTTGACCCGCTGCGAGCGCTCGATCCTTGGACTGCACCAATCAGCGATTCACCTATTATTTCGACAAAAAATCTTTTGCGGTGGACTATCAATGAAATCTTTGCTTTCTCCGTCATTACAAGAAAAATCTGAGCAAGAATTAGAGAAAGAAGTTCTGGAGGGATATCACCAGTTTTTTAAGTGTATGTTTGAAGAAAAATGGAACATGTTCGATTCCGGATCGTCGATGGTCTACAGCGGCTTGAGCGGGTGGCGGATGGTTATCTGTCGGCATTCCTCATCCCAAAGGCGCAGCGGCTGGAGGTCCTCCAGTTTATCGAAAGCCAAACCGAACACATTATCAAACGCGCTAAGACCTTTATGGAGGTCTTGGGTTATCTCCCCATAGGTGCCCGAGCTAAGGGCGCTGGAGCACCAAATCACCACCGGGATTTCATCTCCTTCCTGCGCAAAGCATTGCAGTATTTACCAACCCATCCCCTTGCTAAGTTGAGCTTGCTGGAGCTAAAAAACACCCAAGCGTAAAAGAGCTCTATGCCTTTTTCGAGGGCCACCCTGAGCTTCTCAATGAACAGTCGGTCCTGAGCGCGGTCAAATCCAGGTTGCTGAACTATTCTGAAGATACAGGCCAAGTTCGCGACAGCGTCGCTTAAGTCCGTTTGAAAAACCAACTCCTGGCGGTCAATACAACCACGCCTTCTCTCCAGACTCGGAAAGAGGGGGAGTTCGATCGCTTGCTGCTGCTCGTCTTTGGCCGCTTTCTGCCTGGCCAGAAGATTCCCGAGGCCTTTCTCAAAAGCAACTATTTCACTCCACGTGCGCAGCTGGTACAATGTTTTACGGAAAACCCTCAAGGATTTGAAGCCAATCTCAGGGAGCCTCAGGCGGATCAGGATATGCGTCTTTCCATCGTGGCTGACTATCGCGTGTTTGTGAACAACGTAAACTAACAGTTTCTCAGCAGGTATCCATTTAAGGTGGTCGCTAACTCCGTAGTCGACATCGGCAATCCCCAGTTTCGCCTAGCGAGGCAGAAGTTGCAGGAAATCAAACAGCATGCTCTTGCGGTACTGGGGTCAGGGCAGAAGTTCGTTGATTTGGCGGCCTTGCTTGAGACCTACTCCAAAACACCCGAGAGCAAAATTATAAATTATGATCGTCATTCTATGCCTGGAGGTGTCAGAGGCAAGATGACTAGTGATGCCGCCTTTATTAATGCGCTCCTCATTAACGGGAGCCGCATCATTAGCAAATGTTTTGCTATATTGCACGCTCAAGGCCTTGTTTGAATGTTTCATGGACATGGCATTTTGAACGACCACTTGGGAGAAGACGGCGGCTGCTTTGGTGATTAGTGATCAGGAGGAGCAGCTTGCTCGTTTGCAGGATGATGTGGTGCAAAACAAAACAAAAATTGGGAATGAGGATACCGAGGGCACTCTCTCTCATACTGTCGCGTAGCTGAAGTTAAACAAGCTCGACCTCCATGGACTTGATGACCGTTTAGGTAGTTTACGGAAAATTGTTACAGGAACGCGGCCTGATCTCATACGACAGGACGTTGTGGTGGCGCGGTTTGGGGAGGGTGCGAATCTAAATAACGGCAAGATACAGATTCAGAGCCTCTGGATTGAGCGTGCTGAAAACGAGTGGTATCATATAAGCAGCGAAAGCTCGAGAGGCTTGGGGTTGGAACTTCCATCTCTTCTGGCGGGGTGATGGCACCTCTCTTCTCACTCGCTATGCCGTGGTCCCGCGGGAATTCTCGGATAACCGAGGCACTAACGGATACAATTGGAGACGTACCTATAGGTTGTATTATCTTGAGTTCCCCTGATACATATCATCAGCATGGCGTTAGATTTGTGTACGACCAAGGCAGTCGAGATTTGATTCCAAGCAAGGAAACCTCCTGTGGCGGTTTTAACGCGCTTCCGTTGCCAATACGATGCCGAGCAAGATCCACCGAGCTCGATCTCTGTATGGGAATACGATTTTGACAGCCCCACCTGTAAACAGCTGGAGACCGTTCTCACCCAAGCTCTGGCCGCCAAGCGGGTTGAATATTGTCGTCCCGATGGCGCTGCGAGGCGGGTGGGACGCTCTCCTACGCGTATTACTTTGCAGGCGGAGAAGGGTGCCGGCGGATGGTCTCCGCTTGGCCCAGTTCTCAGCTCGAGTCAAGTGCTTCGCATGGGGATCTCGGCTGCTGTAAACGATTTTGCGACCGTCCGGCTGAAGGTGAACGATGTCGAGAAGACAACTTTCGAAGTGCGCAAGCCACGCGGCAGGTTTCAGCCTTCACAATTTTCGACTCTGCATTAGAGGTTGATGCGGGGGCGATTATTGGGTTTTCTTCAACAGACGCTACTGTTGGTTTTATAGTGACATTGCTATTGGAGCAGTATGACCTCGTGTGAGCCCTTCGCGCCCCCTTCTTCACCTTCGGTGTCGACGGCGCCTCTTTATCCTACTCGGTCTACTGCAAGCGATGCCGGAAATACGTACCGATTACAGAAGATTTCAGAGGTCGAAGCTCGCTTGCACGCGGAAATGGAAGCCCGCCAAACGCTCTACAAAAAGTACAAAAGAGCTGTGAACGGGTTATACGAAGCGAGCAAAGCCCTATCTGCTATCGCTGTGGGCAGTGCTGTTAGCGACGCGGCCGTACTCAGTACCGTCGTCTTAATTCCTGTCGGGATCTCACTCGAAGGCCTAGCAGGTGTTTGCGGCACGGCCACTTTCGCTGGTTGGGTCGTGAGCCACAGATTGGCCGAGAAAGCTGAAAAACACGATCGCATTCGGAAATCCGCGGAGACTGTGCTTCGAACAATTTCGCTGATCACGAGCCGAGCGCTTCGAGATGGCAACTGCAGCGAAAGTGAGTACCAGCTCGTTTTGGACGAAGTAGAGCTCTTCGCTTCGTTGAAAGACGAAATTAGAAGCCAGACAAAGAGAGCTCTCCGCGAACAGACGCGCGCTGCACGTGCGAGCGGGCGTGAGGAGGGCATTCAGCTCGGGCGGATGGCGATTCACGCTAGACATAAACTTTGTGCGCTATTGATCTTGGTGTGACAGTTTTCATCACCCCACGCACGCCAGGGGCTACAGACCGAAGCTGTGATCATAATAAATCACAGCGGTGAACATCTCTTTTGTTTGCAAGGGAAAAACAATTAGTTGAATAAAATTGTGTGTATGAAATAGCGTCGCTGGTATGTAGTGTTTGGCATGTCAAACTGGCGCTATGAGCGTCATGAATCTAGCCGAGCATTTCAATGGTCGGCGGCATAATCGTTCGTCGTTGGCTGGCAATGATATGAATTTCATTTGCCACTTGTGTGACGACAGCGGCGGGGACGTGGAATGGCTATGTAAGCATGTAGAGTCGCCTGGGCACCGAGAAAAGCTAGTTGAGGAGCTGATGAGATCTAGGGGATGGCCTCACCGCTTCCTCCGGGCTGCTCCCGAGGAACTGCTACGGCAAGTTGTGCTTGCGAGGGAGCGAGTAGATGCACACCTCGGCATGTTGGACTTGGTCCTCGAGGGGAACTCTCTCTAAGAGTACTAACTATCATATCACAAATAATAGACCCCGACAGCCGGCCGTGCGGGCGCGGGGGGTGGCCCGGCCGTCTTTGGCTCCTGCCATTGTCCAGGGTTTGACATTCGCTGTAATTATGCTAGCGTACGTACGCGAACTTGGGCTGAGGCGCTTAGATTTACGTATAATAGGTAACAAACTGTGATGTGGGCCAGATGTGGTAATTCCCCTCCAGGTATTATAGAACTCAATGTACAGGACATGTAAACAGAAAAAAGCTTAATGGAACAATCCCAATCAGTTTGCGATACAAATAAAAAACTCAGATACAGTACACAACTGACCGGCTATTTATGATAAATTATGTCCAGAGTCCAAGAATCCAAAATAAAATCCAATTTCTTCTCTTTTTTTCAAACCGGCTAAATAATCTTTGATGTATTTTGAAATGACTGTTAAAAGGACCTGCAAAATTCGCTAATAGCAAAATTCGCTAATAGGAACGCCATTTTCTAATAAAAAGCACCATTTTGTCAAATTGAAACTGCCGCTAAATTTTGGTGGGCTATCGGCAATGTTGAATGATGTCATTGAAAAGCAACGCAGGCATACGATGCCTTAGCCACAATATCAGAAAGCATCCCAGGCTTGCCTTAATAATGCCTCAGTCATGTCTCCGTCATAAGTGAACCAAGCTTTACATATATATTGACTTCAGTTATAGCAGCTGGAAGCTATGATATTCCTATTTTGCGCTTGTTAAGCGTCGGAGTATTTTGAGTATTTATTTTGACGCATATGTAAATACGACAATTAAAAAATGTTTGTTATTAATGACCGTGTATATTGGTAACACAAGTTTTATAAGAGCAGAGTTCTATATTGTAGTTTAATATTCATAGAAATGCCGTTTGTTTACGAATATAAGACTTTTTCTTCTTGTTAAATCATAAACACATTCATGGATTATCAATCCAAACTGTTTTTAGTTGCATACATACCACGCGCTTTCGAATTTATCGTCAATGGCAATGAGCCGTGTAATAAGTTGCAAATATGTGGTAGATTTTTCTTTCATTATAAAATATTTAAGATACAGACCTAACGACAAAGTGAGGAGTTCAAAAAGTAGAGAATTTTTATCGTTTCTATAATTTACAAGGTAAGTCTGATGGTTCATTTTACATATATTTGTTCATAAAAATATCCGTACTACGTCCATCAAGTAAAAGAGTTCAAATTCGCTGTTTGAAACTCTTCAGGATTGTTTAAATTCTCTTAATAAAGTCCCCATGGTATATTATAAGTCATTTTAAATCCTTAATTTATGTATTTTACTGACTAAAACGGTTGTTTTTCTAACATTCTAACAAAGTAAACATGGATTAAAGTTAAATAAGTTAACAGAGTATGTATTGAGACATCATTAATATCCTCTATTGTATAAACATAAGTAATTACTGGTCATATTTATGCCCGACGAATTATTCACTTCGAATCTTTCTCCTTATGCGTAAAATATTATTTACAATTATTGACAGAACAAGATCTAACTATATTTATCAACAAGTAAACCTCGATATTGTATTGAGTGCACCATTTATGTCCAATGAACTTTCAATTGAAATCGGATTTTATGCTTTTAAGTAAGTGGTTTTAAGAGGTGCTATTGTTAGACACTTTAGGTTAATTTAGTATACGTATTTCGTTTATACATAAACTTTTCTAACCTACGTTAAGTAAAAATTTCATAAAGAACACAGCGAAGAGAATTATTAAAAAATCTTCATTATTGCATAACCCGAGCCATGCTTTCTAGAACAGTTAAAAATTTCTTTTCTTCCCCTTAATACATTGTTGAATATGAAGAAAATTTAAGACGTAATTAAAGCAAAACTTCAACATTTACATTAACAAATGTTGAATGGCCTCTGGAGGCAAATTTATTACAGCTCTACATGGAAATATGACGAATTGAACATCATTGTCTTACCATCAAAGTGTTAGGTCAGACAATTACATTTTTTAATATCGTGATCGCTAACTTGGTTATCCCTTTGTAGTTTTGTATAGAAACAGCATTTTGCAGAAAGTGGACCTACTTTCTAAATATTTAAATTAGCGTTGGACCAAAGTTTTTAATTTTAATGCTATCTGATAATTCCATTTTTATTGATTTGTTCCCGATCATTTTATGGACGAATCCTTAAACATGAAATTTACAAATAATGAGGAGATGTGACACTACAACGCCCACTAAATTGCACTGTTGTAGACGCTTTTCATATATTATTCTATAATCAAGCATTTGTAAAATGCAGCTAATATACCGGGAACAAAAAATTTAAGAAAGGCTACAACAACTACGACAAACATCAATTTTTTATTCCTTTTAGGATGCAGCACTATATTTCATACGTTATATTGCTCATTCTCTTGCTCGTTGCAAAGCCTGTTGCAGGTAACTACACAGTTCTATGCCTTTATGTAGCTAGATCACTTAATTTGAGCGATAGTGTCATGTAATTTTTTATGTGGGTAAAACGATTTTTTGAACACAAAATATTTTTCATGTGAGAAGAAACATTTTTCGTTGTTTTTCCACGCGTGTGACATAGCTAAGTGTATAAATAAACAATTAGACTGTTTTACCAGGGACAGAAGCACAAACTAAAAATTTTTCTTTGTTTTTTTTTTAGCTGAAGACAACGATGTGTTGATAATCATTGTCATGGCCGTTGTAGTATTATCAATTGCTTTTATACTTCTCCTTTTTTCAATTTGTGGAATTTACACCTTGTGAGTTTTTTCAAGCTTTTTTGCTGCCATGTGCTCAAAGCATCCTGCCTTCTAACATAACTTGGCTACTATAAACCTCTCTTGTACAATCCAGACATTTGAAACATCGAACCAAAGAAGATAAATTCTAAAATAGTTAGATTTAGCTACTCTACATAGCCAAGTGTAGATTTTATTTACATATTTAGTTGATTTTACATGTGACTTGTACAATATTGCTTGTGGGTACTGAAGTGCTCTATGCAAAATATCTCAGAATTACACTACTTAAAACAAAAGTAATCCTGACAACTCTAAAACGAATGACGTTAAAGTACAGACCTAGTAAAGTACTTATCTTGCAAATCCTAGTTAGTAATAGTCGAAATTTGGTTTGTAAATTCAATCCAGTAACATCCAGTTGAAGTCTTAAAGACAATAGCTGTATGTTTCATTTGTTTTTGACGTATATTACTTACCGTTTTTTAATGCGGTAATAAAGTACGATTTCGTTTTTTAAACGCGTTAAGTGATTTTTTATTGTCTTTTTAGGAAAAAGAGAGGCGGCAAAACTCAAAATTGATACCCAAAACCAAGAACTATATTAGTTATTATTAAGATGCACTTAGTTTAAGTTTTCTGTGTTGTGTCAAGTAAAATTATTTTTGCAATTATCTGTTGTTTATTGTACTGCTGATGTAGAGATTAATTAACTTAGCCAAAATGCCATGTATAAAAAAAAAACACAAAAGATTAATAGTTACTTGCTGAAAAGCTTGCTGTCACAGGAAGCTGAACTAAGTATATCATAGCGACTTTATTAGATATGAATCTTAAATTCATCAATTTATGGAAATAATTTGATATCTTGATATATACCACACGCATACAAGATATTTTTCCTCTTCAAGATAATTATTGTAGAATATAACTTTATATAGCCGTCAATGTTGTAGTTTTATAGCTATTGTTTTTCAAAACACTGCTTAAAAATAAATATTTAAAATAAAATAAGCATAATGACAAAGCAATAAAAGTCTATGACATTGTTTTGACACAACAGAACCTCATTTTCTTTGTCATCAGCATTTTCGTCCCATTTTTTAAAATTATTTTCTTTTGTTATTTCAGTTTGCATTCATATCAAAAATAATCAAAATTTTCCAACACATTTTAATCCATTACTATGAACTTGCTTTCTGCATTCAAAAGCTTAGGTTTGTTCTCTGTGTTTTCATTTCTTTATGAGTGAAAATGTACGTGCTTGACAAAAACACTTCTTTTTCATGGTATGAAAATGTGAGGTATTTGTTTTAAATGACAAGGTGTGGTCATTCAAAACAAATTGCTGATACTTGCATACCATTAGAAGAAAGCACCATCACCACCCGACCCCAAAAAGCAGTATTTCCTACGATTAGTGTAACCTAAGCAATCAATAACGAAAAGCATGTAGCTAACATCGCTTCATTTTAGCTTCCATTATGAAATTTGCAGCTTTGTCAAACAATAATTTTGTCAATGTTGTTTATGTTGATTTCCTTCTGCCAAAATAATGAAGGGCGTAATTGAAGCGTTTGAAGCAATATTACTGCACAATATGTAATTGCTATAAATCATTGGAAGAAGTTAGGTGAAATAAATGGAGAAAACACAATCAACTCGTGAAATAACTGCTTTCTTCTTTTCTAAACTTGCAACATGTATTCGTGTGTCAACTATAAGCATGATAGAGCATGTTCAGTAACTGACTGGAGAGTTATGCTGAAAATAGTTCAGGTTAATCAACAAAGAGATAGCATATTTTTAAAAAACTGTGTTTGTGTGGTTGTCACAACATATCCCTTAGTACTTGCAATGGCTGTACTAATACAATTATATTTCAGAATAATAATCCACTTAATAATGTTTAAAGTCGTGATATTTTTCAATGTTAATACACGTGCAGATTCTCAAATTGAAATATTTTTTAAAATCTTAAGTGTTAGTACAAATATGGATGCTCAATTAAAACATTTGGTGCAATAAGGCAACTATGTAAATGTTTATCCTAGCGTTTATCTTGAGTCACAACTAAAGATTGCACATGTATAAGACAAGTATAAGAGTTTGATCTTCACACAAAGTTCATTAGATCGAATGAAATAGAATATTGTGCTTCGAAAGAATCTTTAATGTCTAACAAAATACCTTCTCGTCCTTCTGAATAATGCCAAGGATGCATATTTTTGTTTTGTTGTTATGGTAAATGTTCAAACTCCTAAGACGCCCCCTGATGTGCGTTTATTCACGACGTAAATGCTTGTTTTAGTCAGCCGTATAATGAGTTGCAAAAATGTTGTTGATAAATTCCTCTTGAGTCTAAGAGCATCATCAACAAAGAGACTCCATCTTACAACACATTGCTTCTTGTCGGAGCAGATATTGTATTTGAATTAAGGTACGTTTATTTGTCAGTTGTTTAAAATATTCGTCTATTTCAAAAGGAGAAATAAACTAAGCCATATATATGTTTATAAGACTGCACTTCTATCACAGCATGATAGCAATGAACTTAAACAAAAATTTCAAGTGAATTTGGTTGTTTCGTGAGTGCCTTATATTATCATATAAGACATTTTTCTATGTATAGTCGAACTCCTAAAAAGCAATTTTAATAATTTTCGGGTTACCCTTAGTAATATTGATCATGTTCAGAGTAAATGGTCGTTTAATGGAGTTAGATTGCCTTCGCGTATATAAATACAAAAATTACTGCATCAGTGAATCACTGATAACATGTTGTTGTTCCTTTATAGCTACCATCAATTTAAATATGTTGCGACAGCTGCTATTCCTGTTTTCCCTCTATCTCTTGTCAGCAACGAAGATCGCCTCAGGTAATAAAAACCATATTTGAAGTAGTTGGGAGTGTTTTATTTGTGTGTAACAATGAAAATGCTGTGATAAAATCGAAACAACCTTATTGAATGCTAAAGTTTTACATTTATAAAATGAAAAAATGAGCAATCGCTACGTTATATTTGGCATTATCCACCTAAGAATATTTACACTTAATCACAGTAAAGAGAACATATAGCAAGGCCACTCCGTTGAATTTTTTCGCACCACGCATAACTTATTACTCATATGATTACCATATTGGCAGCCAGTAAATTGCATTGTGTGACCAATAATATTGACGATATGGCAGACAGCAGCCAGAAAACTAATGAAATATACAGCAGCCAGTTGCTCAGCGAAGTGGCCCAACTGTATATTACTAAACTGTGACTTGATATAATGTTGAAGAGTTTAAATGCGGTCGAAGAAAATATGCTAAGAATTTGAAGTTGGAATGAACAGCAATTATGACGTTGAGTGTGGTTATATTATTTGTATGTTTGAGTTCAACTGCTCAATATGCGTGGATTGTAATAAAGACGTCAGTAAAAATGCGCTTGCTTAAAAATTGCTGTTGAGAAGTGAATACAAGAAACGCTGATATAAAGGTCAGAAGAACACGAATTGAATAAAAGTTTTTCACTTTCTTAATGTCAGTTCATCATATGCGATCACAAAACAAATTGGAAAGACTCTTTGTCTCCGCTTAGTTTTCATAATCCATCAATTAAAAAATTGATTGATCACTCATAGCTGTGACCGATTTTGGTTTTGCATTATCTTTTGTTAAGTACTTGAAAAATGACCTAGTTCACTCCACATTAGCAGTAGCTATATTTCATACGGCTAAAAGAATATCATGTGTGAATACAGTATTTGACAAAATTATTAAAATTGGCGAGACAACCACATCAACCACAGAATTGATGAAGGCATTTGAATTTAAAATTAGCAGCTACATGTTATTTTTAATAATCTTCATCTGCCGCATCTAAAATTAGTCAATTTAAAACAAGGTTACTAACTAACTAACGCTTCTCCCATTAACCTCGTAAGAAAAGCTTAGTTTCGCAGAGCAAGACATTTATTTTACTTAAAAGCCTGCGTTTTTTAATTAGTTGTGTTGCGATAAACCTTCCCAAACATTGGCTATTTTGATGTAAGTTATTTACTTCAATTCGTATATTTTGTAGCTCTATCAGATGATGATGAATATGACGATAGAGTGATTGCTCTTATCATTACTTCTTCCGCGATGCTGGCAGTGTGTATTTTATTAATCGGTATCACGTGCCATTTAGCAAAAAAATTGTGAGTATAACAACTTATAGTTTAGAAGTGGGCTGGGGCGGCATGCGGAAATCAGTTCGTTTCGTTTATTGAGCGAGCTGAGTTCTGGGTGGAAGATGATGAAGAATTTCTCCGAGAGGCATAAATTACAGCGTTTGGTTTTGTTTGAGTAGGGTTGTGATTTCTTTACAATTTTCCAGTTGATGGTGTATGGTGTGTTAGAGTCTTTTAGTTTCCATATGTGTTTGCTGAGTTCTGTGGAGTGTTGTTTTGATTTATTTCGGAATGACCTGGTGTGGTTCAAGCAGCGTGTTTTAAAAGTGTTCTCCGTTAGACCGATGTAGGTTTCTTTGTGTTTGGTGTTCTTCGAGCCTTCGTCAGAATGTGACAATATATTATTTACAAAGATTTTTGTAGGCGTTTGGAGCGTCTGATTGGTTGGTTAGTAGTTGAGTTGATATTACTGGATGGTATAAGATGCGTTGTCATGGTTTCCGGTGTATCGATTACGTTAATGAAATTCGAGTGTTTTATTTTAGTCGTTTGTGTTATTATTACATGTTTTCGATACACCCGAAACCATGACAACGCATCTTATACCATCCAGTAATATCAACAACAACAACCAATCTCAATTAAATATATTGTCATTCATTAATTAATAAAAATTTAAAACAAATCCAGAGAATCCTTATCATTATCATATATATATAAGCTATATACACTTTTAAGCTATAAGTGTTTTTCTTACGAAGTTAGTCTAAATACACAATGTTAGGTAAAAACGTTTTCTCTTGAGAACAACCAAAATGTCTTATTTCAAGGCGTTGCCAATTAAATATTAAAACATATTCAATTTCACAAGAGACGTTGAGTTGTATTATTTCATTGATATGTTCAAATATTCAAAAACATTAAGGATTATTTAGTCATTATATGAAGTTGCACGAAGTCAAATTTGAATTTCTCCCATCTCTAATCGTGCATCATCGCATTACACATTCAGTTAAATATTTTATGGTATTATTATAATGAAAGAACTACTTCTAGACTTGTTTATTAAAGTACATATGCAATGAATTTTGACGTCCTTTCCTTTTCACTTTATTTTAGATTCCGCGGTTTTAGCCTCAATTTGATATACAAATAACTATTTCTCTGTTTGGTAGAAATTAGTTAATTTTACGCCGAAAAAAGGACTGAATTTGCGAACTTTTCAAGTGCTCATGTTAACAACTTGTGACGTCATAAGCGAAACACGTTTTGTGAACAAACTATAGATTTACATATCTAAGGCAACAGTCGTTATCAATTTTCCTTTTCATTTTTTTAATATTAAAAATAGGTATTTTTTTTGAGACAGATGGCGGGCAATTTACTCTTTTATAGATGACATTTCATGGAAACATTTTCATTGTAAACTAAATGGTCTGAGCCCGGGAGTATCGTTATATCTTTGTAGATGTACATCGTCCATATTAGTAGAGTCCTTACAAGAACTGTTTTTGTTGTTGCTGGCTGACGTTTTAACCACTTTAGTGGTAGTCGTCTTCAGAGTCAGTGACTACTGCTAAGGTTGTCGAAACGTCAGTCAACAACAACACAAACATTCTTTCTCAGGACTCTACTAACATGGACGATCTACATTCTTCATTTTCTAAAGCACTACAATCACGACTTTCTATCAATGTGATTTATTTTTCATGATACTTGAGTAAATTGCTTCATGTAAACTACAAGAAAACCACAAAGACGCTTTAAGAATTAGCCCATTAGTGATCAAATTAGAAAGCAGCAGCATTAAATTACCAAAGTACTTTCACAATCAAGAGCCTGGGAAGTTCAATATACAATTTGAGCAGATGTAATGAATACATGTTCATTACTAAAAGATGATGGTTACTGCTCTCCCAAAGTATGTATCTCTCAACTCCCTCATAAAGACGTTGGGCTCTTGAAATTATTACTTGGCTAGAACACATGTTAGATTTTATGAATCACACACATTTCAATTTATCTAATGCTTGTAGCTTAGATAACGCTTATTCCATAAGTTATGTTTTGATCGTAATTTTTTTTATAAAATATAAAGTGGCAACAGTACTGCTTAAATTATTACTTTCCATTTGCAAAAACAATAAATCCGTACTAAATTCCTTATCTGGCAACTCTTTCTTTCGAACCTCTCAACACACATAACATATTTGTTTAAAAGCCTTTAAATTAACTAGAAAAATTAGGTGTCAAAAATATTCCGTTGGTTTACCTTCAAACATTTCTTTTACTCGTTAATATATGTATAAAAACTTTTGCAGGAAAATAAATTTAGAATCGAGCAAATCTTTAATACTATAGTGTTTATCGTTCTTGTATGTTAGATCGTTTACGATCATTGTGTTGTTCTCAATATTCCTCAATTTTTAGTTTGATTTTGACATAAAACGTGTTTCACGAGTAATTTTGGAATCAAAAGTTGTTAGAAAAAATCTGTATGCAAAACGTTGTCACTACCTGTTCACTTTATCATGACATTTTTACTTTCTTATTTTAAAAACCTTTCCTAAAGAAACAGTCCTTAATTTGTGTTTTGCAGATTTTGAGTGTTTTCATATACATTTTTTGATGGACTGCGGTATTGGTGGCGTATTTTCGGGGTGGTTCTATATTTTGCTACGCTTGCTTGATTTCTTTGGGAAGGGAAATGCTATCTTAAAAGAAATTATCCAGTAATATCGTTTATATATGGATATTGACCTTCAGTTAACGTTCGACTTACTCCCATTTACAAATGATGTCAAAGATAAAGAACGAAATGCATCGTTGGAATTTCGGGCATAAATTTTAACCTTTTTATTTTACAATGTCATTCATAACGATAATTGAGTTTCCAATATACAGTGTTAACTACTAATGATTTGCCTATTGATTAACGAAACAGATTTGAAATACTCATATCATTTTCTTAACTTACGACTTTTTCTCTCTTTTTAGGCGAACCAAATGGAATCCTTAGTCCATTTTGTATGAGTTCAAACAGGAAAATATATGTATATAGCATATTGTAAAATTTCCTCACATAACGCTTGTGACAAAAATATTTAAGTAGTAGAATAAGACAAAAATTAGCTCCAAGATGTGCATGAAATGACGGCATTTTATTTCACTATGAAATAGATTTGAAATAGGGGTTGTATAGGATGTATCAAATTCATTCATTTAATAACGCAATAATAACTTTTTTTCACAAATATTTAAATAAAATATTAATCAAAATGCAAGTATTTACTAGAAAAAACGTACACTTTTATAAGCACATTTTAATAATGATGTGCAAAATAAAAACTTGTTACCATTTACCATTTACCATTTCTGATCGTCAACTTAATCATTTATGAAACATTTTGGTTTTGCATATTTTACTTGTTGACAATGCATGTGGAATAAGCAACGTTTCTAAACACAATGTCATTATGTGACGTCAAAGCAGCGATGATGGCCATTCACATCAATGCATCGATGCATGCTCTAAAGAGCATGAGATCAACATAAATTGCTTGCATTGAATCTGAGTTTGTTATTTATATCGGTATATCCATGTATCTTTCAGATTGTTATAGTTATAAAAATATGTGAAATCATCTAACGTTTCTGTAAGGTTGTAAAATTATTTTAACACAGTAAATTTCAGGGGGCAAAATTACTCCACTAGTAAGGGGTAAACAAAGTTCCCAGAACGATCCATCTTTCAGAAAAAAAGTTCTAATATGGGGTAAAAATAACCCAGTAATTCTAATGTGGTAAAATTTAGTGGGGGTAAAAATTACCCCTAAAATTAGGGTTAACCATAGTGTTCCACAGAACGACCCAATTTTTGGAGTATGAGAATTGTTAAACATATGATAGGAAAAAAGACATCTTGTAAATCTAAATTTAAGCTATAAAGAAGAAAATTTAAGTTTACAAGACGCCCTTTTTCGGATTGCATGTGCTTTACTTTATATTTATAACAAAGTAGTCGTGTGGTTAACTGTTACGTTAGGAATCGTAACATATATCACATAACAGTATATATAAAATACCTATTAGATGTTTAAATTTAATGCGTATAAAGTTAAAATATACAAATTTTAAATAAAAGATATATTATTTGCGTTATAATTTATAAAACGACAACTAGCATTCTTAGCACCAACGAATGCTTTTTACCATGGTGCTGACTCAGCAGCTTAAGTTATCTCTTCTTTCCACAGGCAGCATGCCAGGTTGCATGGCTTTATGGGCTGTCACCAAAAGCTAATAACAAATCTTTACATCACTTTCTTTAATGACATATAGTTAGTAAAATAATTTTGAACGAATCATGTCGGACCGAGTATTTAATAGCTATATAGCTGCATTAAGAATTTTATATGTCATGGATTTAAATTTTCCACGCATTTTCTCATCCTGAACTAGAAATTAAATCACTTGGGTTTTTTTGGTTTCCGTTTTTTACACAATTTTTTTCTACAAAGGTCTTCAGTTCGTCAGCGTGTCGGTGAATACAATTCTTAATTCTCATTTCAACCCTCGCTCAAACTTAGGTGGCAGCCGATAAAACTCGGCAAGCTGACAGGTCTGCCCAGTGGCGTAGCCAGCCTGAAAATTTGGTCGTGCTATGTAAATTTTTCTCTGCTCAACTGTAAAAACAAAAGACTTCTAAAGAAATGAATAATGATAACGACATGAAATTTACAAATTTGGGGACTGGCCACGCCACTGAGTTTGTCTGTAGTAAAAGACAAGACTTTAAAATGCTGAGTTAGTATCACGGTAAAAACATACGTTGATGCTTCGTAAACGAGTAACTGATAGTAAACGGTGCAATATACTTTTTCATTATTTCATAATAGTTTAATGGTAAAATAAAACAAACATATTTTATGTGAAAATACGTTCCGAATGAACATTAAATAAAATATTGCATATAGCTCTTAAACTAGATACTTCGTATAACCATGGTCATGAGCTTTTAATTTAATTGTTGGTTTGCTTAACGAATTTACAGTCCTCAACAAAAGGCTTTTATGTTTTTATTATTTTAGGCGTGAAAAACTAAAGTGTAGTTAGATAATACTTATTGATTATCCTAATTAAATATAGAAATAAGTTTTTAACTTCATATTTCTGTCCTATTTAGAATTTTCCATTAAAAAACGACGAGATGATTTGTGTCTAAGTGAAAATAAAACGTCTTCTACTCAGTCTACTGTACATTATGCAAGGTTTATACGCAACTAAACCCATGGTTATGAGTTGAGATGTATCTCACCAGATGCCATATTGCACGAGAATATGTGATATAATATCTGCAAGGGGTCAGCATGTTATTTCCCCAAGAGTAAAAAAATTAACATAGCAGGACCAAATTTGTAGTCTGGAAACGCCATACACCAAATTTGTAGTCTGGATAGAGCCGTTACTGTTTTCAATTTAAGCGTGTAATGAATTCAAACATTATATAATTAATACAATATTCAAAAAATAGGTACATTTTTCGAAGATTTGGATTGCCTGTTAAGCAGATGGATACAGATTAATTGGATTTAATGAACAAATTTAAAATTGAAATACATATTCAATATCATATACGTCAAACGTGCCCAATTTTTTAATTGATTAGTCTAAATTATACATAGTTTAAACTGTGGTATCATATCTACTAAAACATAAAATGTATTGTTAAATTAGCGTATTGCGAATGAATCTTTCAAAAGCTCAAAATTTAACGGCAACGAGACTTGCCTTTACAAAATCAATACAATATTTTCAGTGCATTTGTTTCTTACATCTTTTATGCATTACGCATCCAGGGTATTTCAAATTACATTGTTGCTGCTCATTTTTGGATACAATTACATTTCCATATACCTTAAAAGAAGTTTATTCCAAGAATTTATTGCTTAAGTATTTATATAAGTATTTTTGTTTTGAAATATTTTGAATGTAAAATGCAGAAGTATTAAACAAGTATGAAAATGAAATATCAGCCATTGCTTGCATAAGAAAAGATAAAAATGTTGCATCTAAAGATAACTTTGAAAATAAAATCTACAATAGAAAAGAGTAACTATTCTTAGTTGTTATAATTGTGGGTGAAATATTTAAGCATTTAACATATTTTCTCCTATTTTTCTGGGAAGATTAAAGTCAGGATCAGGCTTTTTACGACAATAGATTGCCGCCTAATTGACCAACTGGCTCCATATTATCTCAATGATTTCACGCTTCTCCCCACCATTTTCAATTCTTCTTTAATACGTGCGATATCTTTGAAATTTTTTGTCGCTATTTCTAATGTGACCATTTCTTTAGTTCCAAAAGTTTCTAAAAGAAAAAAAGCTTTACAAACAGGATACTGACTTGGTGTCTGGTTTTTATTAACAATTATTGTGTTTAAGTTTGCAAATATATCCAAAAACAGACAAGGTCAATTTTGCTTTAAACCAGCTTTATAACCTAAAGACCACAAAGCAACGATTCTAGAAGCTATTGGACGTTTTTTATGTTTGAAATTTGAACAAATTTAAACACCATGCATAAAATATGAATAATGTACTTTCACTGTTTGCCATTGTGATAAAAAAAACAATATTAAAAAGTATTTATGTTTATGCTTTATTAAGTATTGTCCCTTTAACAATTTACATACCTGACTGTGGAGCAGGCAGTTTGCTGTGATAGGCTTTCTTGAAGTCATGAAAAATTATTTCGTCTAGTATAACAATCCGGACAAGCGATAGTGATCCGTGTCTTTTTTGTTGATAGTCCTTTAAACAGGAGTGCAAAATATCAACTGACTCTTCAACACTTTTGCCAAGATTACCTGTACCGACAGCAGGTAGTGATAACGATGCTATTTTCTCGTAATTGGCTCTCTCCAAGCATTTCTTAAGCACATCTTTTATACTTGATTTGTCAAATTTTAAACCACTTCGGTCAATTGCCATATGTAAAAGACAGCTTGCTTTCAAATTACCTGCAGTCGTTTTTATAATTGTACCTCCATCTACATACATCCAATTGAGGTATTCGTTTTCTAATTTTTCACCTGCTTCTTGAAGCAATGATTTTCCAATCGCACCACCTATAAAAATGCAAATCATTATCATAAAATTTACTACGTGATCTTTCATGTTGCGGATTGAATGGGCACAACAGTCAAGAAACTAAAAAAAAAATTGGCCAAGTTTTAAGTAATTAATGATATGTGAAAATATTGGTCATATATTTATGCATTTTAGACTATAGTTATATACATACATAATTATACATATTTATGAATGTTACAGTAAATATCTAAAACCTATGTTGACTACGTATGCGTAATTGCAATACATTTTTCATGGCACTTTTTTTAACAGTCCGTAGCAAGGTTAGTTAGTTAAATCCTTAATGTGACAAATGCACGCAATGAAAAAAGATTGGAAGCAAGATTTTCTGCGTAAGGCTCATATTTGGAACTAATGTTATAGCCAATGCCCATTAGGAAGTCTAATTATAATAATTTGTGTACTTCCCTTTGTTTTCAAATACAACATAGCTATAAAATATATTTTATAGCTATAGCTATTTAGTTAGCTCTAAAGATTTGTCTACCTATTATAAAATTGTATATTGCAAAAAACATCTGAGAAACTTAATTATCATTCTTGTTTGCTTACCTTGGTAAATACTCTCTGACACTATAAAAGCAATAGCTTCAGACGATTCATGTACAATGTCTCCATTGACAATCTCAACTTTCAATTGTACTGTTTTTTCAACTCTTTCATTAACAATGGGTTGATGACATGTTAGTGTTTGGAATTTACAATTTTTTTGGCTTGTTACAATCGACATTTCTTGGATCTTTTTAGAAAAGATATCAATTGCTTTTTTGTTTTCATCAAAAATAACAAAATTAACAGCGTTGATTTTCAATAAATGTTTATGCTTTTTGCTGTATTCTAACGCCTCATCAAACAGAGCGTTCGCAACTAATTCTTCTGTAAATTTTGGTTTTCTGGTACCTAATGCTGGAACGGAGATCGAAGAATGACCTAACGAGTGAACTTCTTCTAAGATGGTTTGAAATAATCGTCGCAATTTCTAGAAACATAATCAAATAACCGATTAAATCCAAGTTACGAAATGAGCAACATATATTTGCTTTAATACATTTCATTTACAAACTAAAAAAGCATACAATGAAAATAAAATTATTCTTTCAAGAAGTTTTCATGATTTATAGTATTGATGGTTTTTTTATTCCTACTAAATAGCAAGGTGAATTGTAGTCAGTCATTCACTAACTTTAGTTAATTTGCTAAAATTGTTCTGGA